AATATTATCTACCTCACCTCGACTTGACAAAGATAACATTTTGGCAGGCATATTTAAAAACAGTTCATTTTGGCGGGCATACGGACTTTACTTTCAACCAATCAGATGGCAGGATTAGGAAAGATTCTTAAAGTAAGGTATATAATAGGATTTATATCATTGAAGCATAACAAAAATAAACACAAAGATATGATTTGGGTATTATAAACAATAGGCGAGCCAGTAATTTAAAATAGCAAATATTATGTTGTTACCAAAATTATTTTTTTGAATATGAAAATACAAGGCATCTAATCTATTTACAGGCAGGATGCATCTACATGAAGTGAGCCCACATATATCCACGGTACGACTGGTCTCTTTATTGAAAAAGGCATATCAGAAAAGAATGACCACATATTTGTCTCTAGTGACAAGTTGTTATTGTTGTTTTGGGTTCATAATGCTGTCCAATCTGAAAAGATTATTTTCGCAAGGCTATACTGTTTTTTCGAGTTATTTATCAGTGATGATAAGATGGCGCTGTTTCTTTTGCTCTGACAAATTAGATTCTGCTTTATGAAGATATCGTTTGGCAGGATGTGGCGGTGAACCAGGCGCCGGGTGGCTGGTTCAATTAGGCCGGCGGGGGCCCAGACGACCTCATTAAGAAGAGACTCGGCTCCCATGCGAGAGGCTGGAGTTTGGCGGCATATCACTGTCCTCCCGTCGGCGGCAGCCAGGCTGACCTCATGTTTTCTAGCTTTTTCCGAGAATCGATTTCCATTCGATAGGCGGCAGCCGGCGCATGCTTTTAAATGCCATTTCCTACCGCCAGCGGTAGCCGGATGAGCTAATTTAAAAAATGCAGCCAAGACGCATAAGTGCAGTCAGCTGACGCCGGCTGGTATATTTATTTTTGACGCCTCGCCTTATGAAATGTTACCCGAGTGATTTTCGGGCGCCTCAATGCTGGAAAGAAACGCACATTTTAGAAAACTTCACTTTTTCATGGAAAAATGCTTATTTGTTCTATGCACGCAAGTCAGATTGAGCGGATGATACAACGTTTCCATATGCCAACCGTCTATCGGGCAATATTTTGCCCAGTGGTATTGGTAGACGTAAGTCAAGTACCCTACTTCACACGTGTATATAATTGTTTCGTATTTTGCCCAACAGCAGGGCAAGATTTTCCCCAACAAGTCGGCTACCGTATAGTCAGGCAGTTGAAGCGTCATATCTTTGCCCAAATTTTTGTCAAAATACGAAACAATTATGCACGTGTGAAGTAGGGTACTTACGTCTACCAATACCACTGGGCAAATTATTGCCCAATAGATGGTTGGGTTGACTATTGTCACAACGTTGGGCAAAGTGTTGTAAAAAATATTGCCCAAACTTTTCACAGTGTATAGAGCATTATTTACGAAAGAGACAGCCGGTAGAGGTCGGGTATTTATTAGTAATCCTGGACCCTGTTGCATACAAATTAGCATTGATTGAAACTTTGCCATAGATGAGGTCATAGGTCATAGATAAGATTTTATTTGACTCTATCGCCCCCCCTCCAGGGGTATAAGAGCACAACATATTAAAACACAATACAGAAAGATATATAAAACAAAGTAAGATATGATGATAAAATACATAGACATGATATATACATTTTTATATTTCTAAAACACAATAAACATGGGCTAAAGACTAAGTATACACTATACAGTTTAAAGTTATAAGTCTAAAATATCACGTGGTTTGGTTTGCCATTAATGGTAACTTCCATGGAAACATTGATTTGATTGGCTGTTGACGATGATATGTTGACATGGTAGTTAATATCGATGGTAAAGTTACCATCAGTGGAAAGTTTTAAGTTCTATTACTTTCATTTAGATACATAAAAGATCATGATACTAAACCAACCTTTCAGCAGAAGTAAAGGTATTTTATCAGTTAGCTTTGTCTTTATGTCAATATCCTTCTGAAGATGTGTTTACTGCATGGTCTTTATCAATAAAAGACTAACTGGGGTCTAAAAATAAACAATAGGTAATAAAACCGATCTACTCCTCTTTCCTAACCAGCATAATTAATTAAGTCACATTATAGGTCGAGGACTGGGAACGGTGCACTAACAATTTGAGAATTATTTCGTTCTTTTTATGGTAATGTGGAAGAATATCAAAGGAAAAGTATTTCTTGATCTTCAAAGGCCGTTATAATCATTTGAATATGACAAGTATTATTATTTTTTTTTAATTTACTTTTTTTTTTATTTAAAAAAAAAATGGTTATTGGGTACTCAAGGATAACATAAGAGCCAACTGGCTATTTACAACCATGTACAGGAATGTGAAATTACAAAAACATCATGAAGACCACTACAAATCAAATACAAATTTCGCCTAGCTGCAATGACATATTCAGATTTAGACTTAATTCTTATTGAAGATATAAGCCCATGAAAATTTGGTTTCTCTTTCTTAAATTTGCAGCATTATATGTAAAATGTGGTAAACAATAGGAAGAAATTTATGCATATTGAATTCTGATAGTCCTTGGGACAACTATTATATATGACAAGTATAACAGCTAAAGGTTGTGGAGCACCCCTTCCAATTCATGCCACATGTTTGTGTAGTCTCTTATTCACATACTGTGTGGGCACAGTCTATTTGATTTCTACCAAGACTTGTTCGATTTCTTATCATTTTGATGATTACAAAACCTCACAGTATACACCAACACGAATGTGCTACATAATCGACCGTTTTTAATTGCTTCCACGCAGTTTCTTTTGCAATGAAATCACAGAAAGCCAGGGCCCCATTTCACAAAACCTGCCATCAGTGACAAATGACAGTTTTTGTTATAAGCTACTGAAATCCCTGCTTCTGATTGGCTATCAGCAGATTTGTCATTAAAAAGAAAGCTTTGTGAAACGCGTCATTGAACTCAGAACTATACTTTAAGCTTTAATATTATCGAGATCGTAGATCATAAACAAGTTTAAAGAGAAGGTCGAGTTCTGAGAAGAGATGAAAAATAATTTGTGAGCATTATCATTGTTATTATGCAAGTGTGGAAGAACATCAAATTAAAATGTTCCTTGAAAATAATGGCTCTTCAAATGCCTTAATATTCTAAATATAGCATGTAACAGCATAACAATCGGGACGGATTTTACGCCACATGTTTGTGTAGTCCCATATATATCTTTCTGTGTACAGTGCTTGTAACTTTACCAAGCCTTGGCCAAACTTCTTTTCATTTTTAGGATTTCAGAACCTCGCAGTACACACCAATACTTGTATGCTAGATAATCAACCTTTACTAATCTATTCTACACTGTTTCTTTCAGAATACAATCGCATGACTAGAACTCAACTTCATCTTTAATAGTGGTTAGCACGAGCTACGCACTATACAGTTGCGTAACGTAAATACGATCCTCAAATTCCTTGCAATAAGCATTATTATTGATAAAATTAAAGAAACAATTGAAGGGGACGGTGTGTCGTATCAAAACGCAATATCAATCAAGTTCAATAAAGTCTTTTTCCCTTTTTTATAATCAAAATCTTAATTTAAGAATCTTTTTGAACGAAAGAGACATTTTGATAGGTCATGACATAGAGAAAAGAGAAATGAATCTTGTCAATAGTATTATAAAACTTTGCTCGGTTCATTATCTATATTACCTATATTAGAGAATGTTTCGGAAGTGAAAAGCATAGGTGCATGCTGTGTATTTGATAAAAGAATGATATGATATGCAATCAAAAGAAATTCGATACAAACGAATTAATACAATATTTCAATATTTTAGTGAGTGATTATGTCTCATTAGTTTCATGTTTTGTACTATTATGGTATGTTACAATTGCATGAATTCTGTGTATAAATATTGTTGTACATAGCTGTTATTTTATGATATGAGCAAGTAAAGTCCCTCGAAAGAGGATCAAAAGAAGGAAAAATAATCAAAATGAACACATCATGAAAGTAAGGAGGCTAAGCTCACTAGCTAAGAGCACGCGGCTTTAGATGGGGTCGCCACAAAAAACAGAAATACTTCTTAATTACAGAATCAACATAAACAATAGCTATAACAAAACATATAGTGTGTGCGAGATAGAGAAAGAAAGAAAGAGTGAGAATGGGGGCGGGTCAAACTAACAATACTTAAAAGGGGGTTAAACATCTTTAGTCGCTACGAATTACTTTGTACTAACGTTATTTCTTTTTGTAAAGCATGAAGGACATCACATGTTGTACATAGACTGAATGATAACGCCAATCAAAACGCCACTCGAAAATCTTACTTTTCGATAATCTTAATTTCAGAGTTCTAAATCTTAAAAACACATCTACAAAAGTAAGATACATCAAATAAAATGTATGGAACAAACTATATTTGAGTTTCACAATGGTTAGTTGACAAGGGAAACATAAAGGTTATCAAAGTTGAGTAAAACAAGGAAATAGAAAATGTATTACGAGTCAATTATGGATATAATACAAAAGTGGTGGAATAAAAACAAGAAAATCAAAAAGTCAAAAGACTGATCGTTGCGCTTAAAGACCGTCAATACTACTGGGCCAGAAGGGATTAGACCACACAGCAAGGTCACTGACAGGTGGCTATCTCATTAACTCATCTCTCAACTAACATAAGGAAAAGAGGGTCATGGGGGACCAACAGGCACCGATTGGGGAAGTTTTCTATATAGAGGGAGCAAGTAACTATACAAGTAGGACAGTGGGGCTTTAAAACATCTGACAAGACATTTGTCAAATACATAGTTAATATATACATATACCTATCTATCTGACATATTTATATAAGCCTACATGAAGCTGTACATTTTGCAGTTTCGTGAACGCAATACCTATTTATTCGATATATCATCTTATTTATATCCGACAGTCATGAAATATGAACATAGCTAGAATGATATATCAAACTAAAAAACATAATATCAAAGTTTCAAATTAAAATCAAGAATGTAACTTACCATGTGCCATACATGCCGCCAATAATAACACAAGGGTCGCTTGTTGTACTTTCCCCATTATCTTGCAGCAGATGGTGTATGTGTGTAAAAGAACCCGTTTAATGGGCGGACAATTTTCTCTCTTTTCAGAGGGAAAATAAGAACCCGTCAAATAGAAAGAAGAAAAAAAAGTCAAGAGAGAAGTGCATGCAGGGACTTCGCACCGAAACGTTCAGCCTTCCCTGTGTTTGACCGCGAACATTTCGGAGCGCTGATTAATTTTACGCAAGCCACTACGTAATGGTTAAAGATAAAGTTGATCATTTGTCACGTGATTTGACCGTGGTATACGATTGGCACGGACACTGTACCGGAGACTCTCGTATGAGATGTCCCCGGTCCGATTCTTGTTTGGTGCTAATTTCCTCTTTGGACAAGGTGTTCGTTTCACTCACTTTTGCCCCTCTTCACCCGGGTGTATACGAAGGGTACCTAGCTATACTGGGGTAATAATAAATGCCCCCGGTGTAATATTTGCTCAAGTATTAGTGCTACTGAGGCGTCCTGGCAAGATCATACATGTAACTACTATTATTATAGAAACAGTCGTGAAGTTATGAAAAAGTTCATTTATGAATACGGGCATTATGTAGTATGAGAATTAACGCATACTATGAGGTTTGGGCATTTAATAAACAATGATATGAAATCGACCCAGTGTTGATAAAGTCACATGTACTGTACAAAGAAATATAAATATGGGACTTTACACGTTTGGTATGAAAGCTAGGTCCAAACTTTTGAGCTATTTCTCATATTTGGAGATCTTTTGTTTATATTCTTGCGAACAACGAAAACAAAGCTCACATCATTATTCTCCACCTCCGCTAAAGCTCAACCGTCTCTTTAAAGTTTTTGAATAACCACAAAATGGAGTTTAATTTAAATGTATAATCTTATCTTCGGTGTGAGCTGTTCTCGGACGGTGATTTAAACAAAGCAGTGGCCATTTCATATTGGATTCTTAATCCTGTTATACGGTATATTACGACTGGCGGGTCCAGGTTCTTTGGGAGGGGGGGGGGGGGGGGGGGGGGGGGGGGGGGGGGGGGGGGGTGGGGGGGGGGGGGGGGGGGAGGGTTAGCGCACAAGCCCGAAAATTCGTTGACAAGAAACACACAAAAGGGGATCATCAGCCATGTTCTTCCCCCTCCCCTCTTGTTGAGGGTGGGTTGGGGGTGGGGGATGCCTGTGTCGATTCGTATCACAAGTTTTACAATCTGCAGGATAGGGAACACATTATAATTACTCACATGTTAGGGTGTAATTATTCTCTAACACATTGTGGAATCATGATGCAGGCCTAGGGCATAGCATGTGTAACCTGCAAAATGAGTTGCAAAATGGAAAATTTAGTGGACCATCAATAATTGCCCCCCCCCCCCCCCACGCGCCTTCAACGTCCCCATCATCCGGTGTTGTTGCTCTTTCCCAATGCAGAAATCAACTTTACCTATAATAACACACTAGTGACAGAGAGAAATGGTTGTGTCAGCAAAGGATTTCATAATAATTATCCTCATTTTTGTTTAAAGGTTCTCAATTTCATGGTATAGTAATTGGAGCAAACTCACTTATCACGTTATAGATAAAGGTTAAGAACTGCCTAAAACAATACTTTTTTTTAATCATAATTGTAGACTCCGAATAAAATTAGAACATTATAGCTCAATATAACTTTACAAAAAAACATTGTGGCTTTATCGAGGGGTCTGAACGGACTAGCTATTTTGAGTACACAGTCCTGATTCTTGTCGTAATTTGAAGATTACGATTATATTTGCAAAGTGCGAAGACAAATGATGATGGTTCCCTAATTGTATTGACTGAGATAAAATTCCTCGCTAAATCAAACACAGTTAACGCCCTAAATTACATAAAACGGTGAAAAGCAGGATCCAGTATATAAGCATCTAGCATTATTTGATTTAAAGCGCCACTGTCCTATTTGTAGCTACTTGCGCTCCCTATATATAGAAAACTTCCCCAATCGGTGCTTGTTGGTCCCCCATGATCCTCTTTTTCTTATTTCTTATGTTAGTTGAGAGCCGAGTTGATGAGATAGCCACCTGTCAGTGGCCTTGCTGTGTGGTCTAATCCCTTCTGGCCCAGTAGTATTGACGGTCTTTAAAGGAATCCGGTAACTTTGTCTCCGATTCTGAAACAAAATCCCGGATTTATCTCATGCTGCAATGATAATTAAAAACCTTTAGGTCAATCAGGAACCCCATGACTTTTACAAGCCGATCGCCTGTCTGATTATCAAGATATTTATGATTGGAAATCGCAAAACCAAATTTTGCGTTTTTCCTTACGGTTTTCATAACACTACAGTCTACTGGGGAAAACGAGTATGGTAAAACCGGCCAGTCGAAGATTCTTATTTTTTGAGGCACTTCTTGATCATTTTGAAGCGCGATTTGTTACCCCATAATCACAGACATTGATAACACCTAGGGCCGTGCATCTCAGATGTAACATTGTTAAACGATGCCTTTAATACACTATCTAGATATAGACACGATGGTGGCATAAAAGTTTCTGCAGTCGATTTTTCCCTATTCTTGGATCATTGATGACTATTTTGTTTAAACATGAAAAATGTCCCATGTTTGTATTCTGTTACTCAAGATATGATTTGCAAAGACAGCTTTTAGTCTTAAAGATACGTATGATCGTGATTAATATGAATGCGGTATTTCACCAAGGAAGATTCGAAAATCGCCCAGTGCACCTATTCAATCACGTTCTGCACATATTTTTTAAACAACTCTTTTCCCAAAAATATATCAATACTCTGGTTTTTCCTTGGTGCGCATATTCCTTGTCTTTCTCTTTCCCAGCAATCATAAATCTCCGATCTTTTAAGCTGTTTGTATTTCAATCCTAGCTACCTTCCTATAATCATGTGCGTCTTTCCCTGCTTAAAAAAAAGTCAATAAAACTCTTTAATATGATAAAGGACTAGTTTAATGTACAATGAATACCAAGTCCAACACAGAAAGTATTTTTGGCTTTGCAATACAGCACCTTTTAAACCCCCACTGTACTACTTATAGCTACTTGCGCCCTCTATAGCAAACAATGCCTAATTAGTGACCATGATCCTCTTTATCTTATGTTAACTGAGAGCTGATTTGATGAGATAATCACCTCTCCCTTCCTACTCATGTGTGGGTGTCTCTCTCTCTCCCTCCGCCCGTCCGTCCCTCTCCCTCCCCACTCATGTGTGGGTGTTTCTCTCCCTCCTTCCCCCTCCCCACTCATGTGTACGTGTCTCTCTCCCTCCTTCTCCCTTCCTACTCATGTGTAGGTGTCTCTATCCCTAGTTCTCCCTTCCTACTCATGTGTGGGTGTCTCTCTCCCTCCTTCTCCCTTCTTACTCATGAGTGGGTGTCTCTCTCCCTCCTTCTCCCTTCCTACTCATCTGTGGGTGTCCCTCTCCCTCTTTCTCCTTTCCTACCCATGTGTGGGTGTCTCTCTCCCTCTTTCTCCCTTCCTACCCATGTGTGGGTGTCTCTCTCCCTCTTTCTCCTTTCCTACCCATGTGTGGGTGTCTCTCTCCCTCTTTCTCTCTTCCTACCCATGTGTGGGTGTCTCTCTCCCTCTTTCTCCTTTCCTACCCATGTGTGGGTGTCTCTCTCCCTCTTTCTCCCTTCCTACCCATGTGTGGGTGTCTCTCTCCCTCTTTCTCCTTTCCTACCCATGTGTGGGTGTCTCTCTCCCTCTTTCTCCCTTCCTACCCATGTGTGGGTGTCTCTCTCCCTCCTTCTCCCTTCCTACTGATGTGTGGGTGTCTCTCTCCCTCCTTCTCCCTTCCTACTCATGTGTGGGTGTCTCTCTCCCTCCTTCTCCCTTCCTACCCATGTGCGGTGTCTCTCTCCCTCCTTCTCCCTTCCTACTCATGTGTGGGTGTCTCTCTCCATCTTTATTCCTTCCTACTCATGTGTGTGTGTCTCTCTCCCTCATTCTCCCTTCCTACCCATGTGTGGGTGTCTCTCTCCCTCCTTCTCCCTTCCTACCCATGTGTGGTGTCTCTCTCCCTCCTTCTCCCTTCCTACCCATGTGTGGTGTCTCTCTCCCTCCTTCTCCCTTCCTACTCATGTGTGGGTGTCTCTCTCCATCTTTATTCCTTCCTACTCATGTGTGTGTGTCTCTCTCCCTCATTCTCCCTTCCTACCCATGTGTGGGTGTCTCTCTCCCTCTTTCTCCCTTCCTACTCATGTGTGGGTGTCTCTCTCCCTCCTTCTCACTTTCTACTCATGTGTGGGTGTCTCTCTCCCTCTTTCTCCTTTCCTACCCATGTGTGGGTGTCTCTCTCCCCCCTTCTCCCTTCCTACGCATGTGTACGTGTCTCTCTCCCTCCTTCTCCCTTCCTACTCATATGTGTGCGTCTCTCTCTCTCCCTCCTTCTCCCTACTAATGTGTGGGTGTCTCTCTCCCTCTTTCTCCCTTCCTACTCATGAGTGGGTGTCTCTCTCCCTCATTCTCCCTTCCTACCCATGTGTGCGTGTCTCTCTCCCTTCCTACCCATGTGTGGGTGTCTCTCTCCCTCTTTCTCCTTTCCTACCCATGTGTGAGTGTCTCTCTCCCTCTTTCTCCTTTCCTATCCATGTGTGGGTGTCTCTCCCTCTTTCTCCCTTCCTACCCATGTGTGGGTGTCTCTCTCCCTCTCTCTCCCTTCCTACCCATGTGTGGGTTTCTCTCTCCCTTCCTACCCATGTGTGGGTGTCTCTCTCCCTCTTTCTCCTTTCCTACCCATGTGTGGGTGTCTCTCTCCCTCTTTCTCCTTTCCTACCCATGTGTGGGTGTCTCTCTCCCTCTTTCTCCTATCCTACCCATGTGTGGGTGTCTCTCTCCCTCTTTCTCCTTTCCTATCCATGTGTGGGTGTCTCTCCCTCTTTCTCCCTTCCTACCCATGTGTGGGTGTCTCTCTCCCTCTCTCTCCCTTCCTACCCATGTGTTGGTTTCTCTCTCTCTTCCTACCCATGTGTGGGTGTCTCTCTCCCTCTTTCTCCTTTCCTACCCATGTGTGGGTGTCTCTCTCCCTCGTTCTCCCTTCCTACCCATGTGTGGGTGTCTCTCTCCCTTCCTACCCATGTGTGGGTGTCTCTCTCCCTCCTTCTCCCTTCCTACCCATGTGTGGGTGTCTCTCTCCCTCTCTCTCCCTTCCTACCCATGTGTGGGTTTCTCTCTCCC